GGCTCCGCGGCCCCTTCCCACAGTGAGTCTAGCACTAGTAGTTATGTTTAGGCAGAACTTTGTAGTCTTCTTTCCCTTTTATGGCAGATTTTGATAAAAACACAAAACAGGGTTTAATTTCCTTTTCTGTCAGCTTTGAATTTGGAAAAATGGGAGCACCTAAGCTCTTCTGTACCTATTTAAAGTAAGGGAAAAGAAGTCCACCAAGGGGATTGAAGCTCACAGACCCTGAGAATTAAAGCCTCTTAAAGTGAAACTTCAAGGTGTGATCCTGTCCCCTGGCCTCCTTGCCTCCTTGGGGTTTGCTCCAGGGGCTGCTGGATAGGTTTACCATCCTGGCTCCCCCAGGCTTGGAGTTAGCACTGACGTTACAATTTCACAATCCCAGCCGCGGACACCTGCCCTGCCTCTTACCCTAGAGCCAGTCTGTTCTTGTTAACAGTGAGAATTCCGTGTTCCCACTTCAGTGACACCTGAGTTTTGTTGTTTTTCAAGTTGTCTTTAAGGAGGAAGGGCCCCATTAAAGGGTAAACTTGTAATAAATTGGAATTTCAAATAAACATTATGTACTTGTGTTTATAAAGAAGAAACAGTTCTGGTGCATTTTTCTTTGTGCTCTTGGAGGGTGGTGCAGTCCCGAGCGAGCGCTGTTTTCCCATGGACTCTTGTTGCCTGTTCTTCTGGAGAGGACCTCCTCTGACTTAGTCTTTTTAACCACAGATCAGATCCATCTACTGCATTTCTTTGCTTCCAGGAGAGAGTTCTGGTGCCCTGGGTAATCGAAGCCGTGACCTTCAAGCCTCTCCTGGCCTTGTCTTTGTCTCAACACCCACCCCCCTCCCCCGCATTCCATTTGAAACTTCTAAGAACTAGGAGAAAGTATTTTTTAAGGCTTCGCTATGGGAACTTGTGTAGTCCTTCAGGACTTAATTTTGGGGGAAACTCAACATTTTAAAACACTTTTCAAGGAAAATATAAAACGTACACAAAAAGTGGAAATAGAACAAATTCCCACCTACTCAGCTTCAACAGTTCTACTACATAGCCAATCTTGTTTTATTCGTGCCTTCATTTATATTTTATGCTGGGAGTTTTTATAAAGTCAGAGTGGCTAATTTGAGTAGATCGCTGCTGGCTGGCAACCTGCCTGTGGAGTTCCAGGATTTTATAGGGCCACTGCATGATCCCATTCACTGAGAAGCGAAACTGCCAGTTCCTGACCAGCTGCGCCAGGGGTGGCATAAGGTAAAATAGGAAGAAATCTGAGGAGAAACCTAAGTCCTGGGTGCGGGTTCTGCCACTGACTCCCTTTGTGGCCTTGGTGAGCGTGGGCTTTGAGCCAGGCCTGCGCCAAGCACTTGGGGATTTTCAGTCCCGCAGGGGAGGAAGTGGTTTGCCCCAAGGTCGGATTGAATTTGACCAGCCCTCAAGCTCTGGAGGAGGGAGCTGTGTAACCTCCGGACATTTTCCACACAGGCACGGTTGGACTTGGGACTCCCAGCCCACCCACACCTGTGAAGTCCTATTCCTGGGGTGGGTTTCTTAGGCTACACCAGGCCAGCGCCTGTGGGGCCTTGTCACCTCATCTAGGCTCTGTATCCTGGTCCTATTCAGCCATCCCAGCCCATTCCTCCCTATCACGAGAAACCTAACTTGGGCTGACTACTGCAAATGGAGACGAGAAAACTTTTTTCCTGAGGAGGGGTCTGGATTACTAATGCTGGCAATCAACAGAGACCAACCCCTCTTCCTGCCTCCTCTTCTTTCTCCTCAAACCCTGTCCCTGGGGAGGGAGCACAGTCAAGGGTGGCAGTCAGCTGGTGACTGATTCCAAAGCAGCTACTCAGGGGCGGTGCCGCTTCCACTAGGGAACCAGGTCTCCCACTTGCCCGAGAGCCAGGGTCCCCTCCGCAGGGTACCGAGCGAGACACTTAGACCAGGAGAGGGGAGAAGGCCGCGGCTCTGTTACCCCCCGCCCAGGACCCCCAGGCCTTTTCACACGGGCTGCCCTGGAGCTTCCTCCTTCAGGGTGGGACTGAGCAGACAGTGAGGGCAGCTACTGACCCCCCGGGGGGCGGGCAGCCTCTCCTCAATCTGACCTCAGTCAAGATCACCCCTGCTGACTCCAGTGAACTTTGAATTGTTTCCCTGGAACTGATACTGACTGAGGTCAGGGCTCAGAAGTTCCTTTTAAGAACAAGCACAGGCTCGGCCCTCAGACAGGCTCAGCTGGCGTGGACACATGCACAGACGTGCTGCTCTAAGGGGCCCTGTGCTGGGCTACTAGGCCCCTGAGGGAAGGGGTGGGGGCCGGGGGCACGCAGGCTGGCAGGTGTTGGCTTCTGAGGTGTTTCCATTGGGTTCTGGAATCTCCTTTTTGGGGGTGGGGGGAGGTCCCACTGTGGGACCGGTTTCTCTGGACAAAACTGCCCTAGGTTTTGTTTGTTTTTTTTCTTTTTTTCTGCAGTACGCGGGCCTCTCACTGCTGTGGCCTCTCCCGTTGGCGGAGCGCAGGCTCAGCGGCCATGGCTCACAGGCCCAGCCGCTTCGCGGCATGTGGGATCCTCCCAGACCGGGGCACAAACCCGTGTACCCTGCATCAGCAGGTGGACTCTCAACCGCTGCACTGCCAGGGAAGCCCCGCCCTAGGTTTTATAGCACCCACCCTGTCCATCTCACCCCATGCCCCGATGGACTCCATGGTGTGAAATCACAAGCTCTGGAGGCCACAGTCTCCCTGGTTGTGTGAACTTGAGCCAATCGATCCCTTCAAGCACTTCCCTTGTCTGCACAACGGGAAGAGGAGGATCAGATGGAGGACTTCTGTAAAAGGTCTTTAATCATGTTTCCTTCTTCCTTTTCCTCTAGGGTCTGGGACTCTTCCATAATGTTGTCCAGCGCTGAGAAGCCTTATCTGGCAAGGCCTGCCCACCCTCCCTCCCTCCCAGGTCCTGGCCTATGTGAACCATCTCAGCCTCAAAGCAGAGCCCCCTTGGGGCCTGTCCTGATTGCACACCCCCCACCCCCGCCATCCCAGTTGTCCTGGAAGCCAGTCTTGTTTCCGCTGAGGGACGCAGCCAGGTGCCCAGTGACTGGCAGGACCTGGGTGAACTGGTGCCGCCCCTGATGCTTACCCTCCCCGCCACCCTTGGGCCCTGCACATCACTTGCCTCTCTCCTCCCGTTTCCAGAATCCTCTCCTTTGCCTCTGGCTGCCCCTGCCCTAGTGCAGGCCCTCAGCAGTTTCAGGTCGGCTGCCCGCAAACCTGGCCTGTTAAGCCCAGCTCGGTGCAGCCACTCCCCCTCCCACTCCCAACTTGGGCCCCTGTCACCTTCATTAAGCTCGTTCTGTTTCTCAGTCAGGGACCCTCCCCCGGCGAGTTGCCACATGTTAGGGTCACTTGGTTTCACTGGTCAGAGAAGGCATGAGGACTTAGCCTGTGTCTATGAGAAGGGGAGGATTTAGATTGGGGGGACGGGGGGGGCATTCCACCTGCCAGCTGCAGGGGTGAGGGCTGCGAAATTCCCTTACGGGTCAGTACTGTTCCTTGGGAGCGACAGCCCTCTCCCCACTCACCTCCTGAGGGAGCTGATGCCACCTGTTTGATCTCCATTTGGTTTCTTTCTTGTTCCTGTGAGACTGGTGGTTGGTGCAGGGTAAAGGGCTCTGGCTGGAGAGGTGCTGGGTTTGGGGGCTCAGCCCTACTGTGATATGAAGCAGTTGACCTTGGGCCTCCCCTTGGCTGGCAGTGGGGCTGGACCCTGGGGCCTCCTGACAGTGACGCTGAACGTGTCATGCACCCAGAGACAGGAACCAAGACCCTCCCCTGGCTGGAGTCACAGTGGCCAAAGCAGAGGCTAAGATAGGACGCTGAGGTCTGACTCCACGCTGACAGGGTCTCCGGGACGGCCACACACGGAGGTGGCGCAGGTCCTGGCAGCCCCAGGGCCTCCCCGGCACACAGATAGGCGCAAGTACCTTTTCCTATCCCGGCATACGAATGTGGGAGCTGCTTCAGGGGAGCCACGTGCACGCCCCAGCACCTGCCCCGTTTCTCACTGCTGCGTTCACAACTCAAACCTTTCCGCAGGGCTCCCCTGGTGGCGCAGTGGTTGAGAGTCCGCCTGCCAGTGCAGGGGACACGGGTTCGTGCCCCGGCCCGGGAAGATCCCACATGCCGCGGAGCGGCTGGGCCCGTGAGCCATGGCCGCTGAGCCTGCGCGTCCGGAGCCTGTGCTCCGCAACGGGAGAGGCCACAGCAGTGAGGGGCCTGCGTACCGCAAAAAAAAAAAACAAACCTTTCCGCAGCCCTTTAGGAGCTAGGGACCCAATCCCCACTATCTTCAAGGGCTGTCTCTATGTCTGTGTCTGCCACCAAGATGCCCATATAACAGTCCAGCCCCATCTCCACCCAGAGGGACGAGAGGGTGGGGTGCCCTGACTAGGGCCGCAAGGAGTGGAGTGGCCACATCACATCAGCAATCTTCAAAGGCAATGAGGACAGTCAGCTGGGCCCTGGCCCTCAGGCCCCAGGGAGGGGACAGCAGGATGGGCCATAAAGACAGTGGGAACAGATCCTGAGCCTCTGAGGAAAACTCTGAGGTAGGCTGATGCCCTCATTTTTTATACAAAATGAGGAAAGCAGAGTCTTACCCACAGGCCCCAAACAGGCTAGACTCCCCCGGGCCAGAGGGGGACAGTGTCATCCCAGGGGATTCCCTGAGTATCCCAGCAGGCATCCCAGTCTCACTTTGGGAAGCAGGAACCCAGGGCTCAGAGAGGCAAGCAGGTTGCCAAAAGGAGCAAAGAGGAGAAGAATCTGGGACTCCTGCAAAACACAGCTGTTTCACAGCACGATGTCCTCCCCATTGATGGAGAGCCAGAAAACGGGGTCAGGGGATGAGCCCAGAACCCACCCCCAGCTCTGCTCACATGGGAGACTCCTGCAGGGCCCTCACCCTCCTGCCTTCTCCCTTTCCAGTCCAGAGAAGACTCAGCGGTGCCACACGGGGGTTTATTCTAGTCACAGCTTCCAGAGAAACTCCAACAATAAATTACATCATTAAATAAACTCTGCTGGACCACACCCCCTTCTACCCCTCCTCCTCTCCACATGCCCCCACCCCCAGGGCCCTGCGGGGGACTCAGCCAGGCCCACCCCCTTGCACTAGGCGACAGGGGAGTGAGCCTCACTGGGTCCTGACAAGTGAGGGTTGAACGAGAGTCTCCCCGCCCTGGTCCTCGGCCCCTCGCACTCACTTGCCTGACCTTGACAGCTGGGCAGCTGCTAGTCAGCTGTCTCCTCCGGAGGGGGGCTAGGAGGGGGCAACAGCCTCCCCATGCAGGCCTGTGTCCCTAGAGGTGTGTGGGGTTCTCCAGAGAAGGATCCGTCTTAGTCATGTGCAAGACCACGGTGGGGGCCTTATAGTGGCAGTGGGTGCCACGGCCATAGCCCCCGGGGGCCCGGCAGGTCTTTGCCCGTGCCCGGCCAGCTGCCATCTTGCGGTGGCACAGGCTCTGCCAGGTCTGGAAAGTCTTGGAGCTCCATACCCAGACGCCGCTGGTGATGCCCACCACCAGCGACATGAAGATTTTCAGCATAAAGACAGCCACGGTGGGCACTGAGCCCCCTTGCAGCGAGCAGTCCCTCCAGCCGCCGGGCGTGGTGGCTGCCGAGCAGGGCTGCTCTGTGGCCCGCAAGCGCCAGAAGTCCATGTTGAGGCGTTCATAGACGTAGCACACAATGACGCAGGTGGCGGGCACAGTGTAGAGGATGGAGAAGACCCCAATCTTGACCATGAGCTTCTCCAGCTTCTCCGTGTTGGTGCCCCCTGTCTTCATGATCTTGCGGATGTGGAAGAGGGCCACAAAGCCGGTCAGGAGGAAGCTCGTGCCCAGCACCAGGTAGCAGGAGAGGGGTACCAGCACGAAGCCCGTGAGTGCCCCCGCATCCATGCTGGCCACGTAACAGAGCCCGGTCAGCTCATCCCCTGCCACCTTGCGCAGAGTCAGGATAACGATGGTCTTGAGAGCCGGCAGCCCCCAGGCTGCCATGTGGAAGTAGCTGCCGTGGGCCTCAATGGCCTCGTGGCCCCACTTCTTGCCGGCCGCCAGGAACCAGGTGAGGGTCAGCACCACCCACCACAGCGAGCTGGCCATGCCGAAGTAGTAGAGCAGCAGGAAGACGAGGGTGCAGCCCGTGTTCTCCAGGCCCTCCTGGATCACGTAGAGCGCACCCGCCTCCTGGTCACAAGCCACGCTCTGGGCCCCAGCCACAGCCCGGATGAGGAAGGCTAGCGAGTAGACGTTGTAGCACATGGAAAGGAAAATGATGGGGCGCTCCGGGTACTGGAAGCGGTGAGGTTCCAGCAAGAAGGTGAGCACGGTGAAGGCAGTGGAGAAGAAGCACAGCGCCGACCACACGGCCATCCAGACGAGCGCGAAGTCCTTGTCGCGCCGCGACCAGAACACCTCGACGCCCGGCCCGCAGCGCGGCGCGCACGAGCGGCTCTTCTCCACGTACTGGAACTTCTCGGGGTTCTCACAGGTGCCGCCGGCGGCGCCTAGGATGGCGTCGCCGGGGGGCCCCGCGGGCCGCGGCGCCACGGGCAGCATGCCTAGGCCCTTGTGGGGCTCGGCGGGGCCGGCCGTGGCGTTCTCGGGCGCCTCCATGCAGAGCGCGTGCGGGTCGTTGCGCGTGGGCAGCCGGGCGCAGTCCAGCGAGTCCGGCCAGCCGAAGTTGAACTGCTCCATGATGGGCGCGCACCGCAGGCGCGCCTGCTCGCACATGGGCCGGCAAGCGGGGATGGGCGTCGAGACCTGGTCGGTGCACATGGGCGCGTAGAGCGAGCACAGGAAGAAGCGCAGGTGGCTGTGGCAGCCGTACTGCACGAGAGGCGCGAACTCGGCCAGCTCGGCGGCCGCCTCGCCCTGCGACGTGTGGCCCAGCAGGTTGGGCATGCGGGTCAGGTTGTAGCCGATGCCGCGGCACATGGGGATCTCCACCGCCTGGCACGGCGCCGGCCCGCGCCCGCGCTCCGGGTCGAAGCGGCCGATCTCCAGCGCCGCGCCGCCCGCCGCCAGCAGCTGCCACAGCAGCAGCGCCCGGCGGAGCGGCGGCACGGCCATCCCGGGCGGCCCCGGCCGAGGGCGGGAGGGCGGCCTCGCCTCACTCTGGCCGCGCCGTCCGGCGCCCCCGTGCCCGCCCGCCACGTCGCGGGGCGCGGGCCATAGCCGAGCTGGCCGAGTGTGTCAGGGCGCGGCCGGGCGCCCTGGGCAGCGCGCGGGGAAGCCGCCGGAGGGAAAGGAGGCGCCGAGCCGCCGAACCACCGCCACTCGAACGGCCGCCGAGCCAAAGCGTGCCCCGCCTCCCGGGGCCGCGGCTACAAGCCTCGGGGCGGGGCGCCGGGCGGACGCGCCCAGAGGCGTGCCCTCAGCGCGCCGGGCACGCCCCCAGCCGGGCTTTAAAGGCGCCGCGTCTCGCAGCGGCGCGGGGAGGCACCAACCCGGGCGCGGTCTGGCGGCGCGGGGTGTACGAGCGACCTCGTCTGCCCGCTCACACTCGGTTTTTCCCCTTCTGAGTGGGTTGCTGCCCAACCTCTCCCCGCGACAAGACGGTCAGCCGGAGGATTTCCCTGCCACCGTACCGCGTCACCTCTTTTTACCCCAGGAGGGACGATTTCTAAGGTGGCTTTTACGCGTGGGACGCCTTGACCGTGTACTCTGGGACAGTTCAAGTGCAGCCTCTGCCTCTTCACTAGTTGTTTGTGGCTTTGGGCTCTTCGCTCTGTTTCCTTTTCTGTAAAACCGGCAGATAATCCTGTAGAAGTGAACAATTCATTTGTTGCTCACGTGCTACTTACCCGTCACACTGCGCACTTGACCTCATTGTCTCTCTCCGCAGTCCAGGAATGGTACATTCTCCCCTTCCCAGGTGGGCCTCGGGGGAGGTGTCACCCTATCCGCGGGAGGTTCTACTGTCTAGGGTGCCCCTTGACGCCTCAGGACCGCTTGAAAACTGCTTCGCACAGAGCTGGAGGACCCCGTCTCCCTCTGCCCCCTCCCCTCCTGTCCTCTGCGCTCCCTTCGTATAGGTTTTCCCCTGGGAATTCCTCTCGGCCCAGAGATCCTGCCGCTCTCTGCCTGAACCACGTCCACCTCCCCCTTCCCGCCCCCGCCAGGCCCCCCAGACAGCAGAGCAGGGGACCGCGTACAGTGACACCCGTGGAATATTTTAGTACACCTCACACCCTCCTCACCTAAGCCAGACAGCTGTCAGGAAGATAACCAGCTTACTCACTCTGCTTCCACGGGCGGCACCGAAACCGTGGGGAGTGGGGAGGACTGTCCTTCCCTTTGTACAGATGGAACGAATCAAGGCAGTCCTAGGGATATGACTCGGCCTCGTGGTGACCGGTGACAATAAGTGAGTGAGGTCTGAGACTGCGACCCCTGAGCTGCCGACACCACCCAACTCGTCCACCCTCAGGTTGGGAAGGTGTTTCTGAGAGGCTGGAGTTGCCTAGGGCCGCCTGGAGTCCCAAAGCCCCTCAGCCCTCCCGCCTCTGCTCAGCCAGGTTCCCACCATGGTTCCCGGGTAGCTTTGTGGGTGAAACCCGAGTGCCATCCAGCAGGCCACCCAAAGGGCCCTGCTCTGGTCTGAAGCTCCCTGAGACACTGCCTCCCTCCTCCATGGCCCACCCCCGTCTGTCCTCACCCCCTTGGCCTAGAGGTACCTGGAAGACTCAGACTCAGCTTCCGCGTGAGCGCTCGGCATAGGTCCAGCCCTAGCAGCTGCTCAGGGATGCCAAGCAGATGAAGGGCTGAGGGAGTGACCTGCACTGCAGGGGGCCTAGGAAACTGGTCAAGGACCCACAGTGAGCCAAGTGGGCCCTGGGCCAGGCATTTTACAGAGTGACTTTTTTTTTTTTATCTTTTATTTTTGGCTGAGTTGGGTCTTTGTTACTGCGCCGGGCTTTCTCTAGTTGCGGCGAGCGGGGGCTACTCTTTGTTGCGGTGCACAGGCTTCTCATTGTGGTGGCTTCTCTTGTTGCAGAGCACGGGCTCTAGGCACATGGGTTTCAGGCGTTGTGGCTCGCGGGCTCTGGAGCGCAGGCTCAGTAGTTGTGGCGCACGGACTTAGTTGCTCTGCGGCATGTGGGATCTTCCTGGACCAGGGCTCGAACCCTTGTCCCCTGCACTGGCAGGAGAATTCTAAACCACGGCGCCACCAGAGAAGCCCTACACAGTGACTTTTTAAACTCTCATAACAGCCCTGCAAGAATTCTGTGCCCATTTTACAGATGAGAAATTGAGGCTCAGAAAACTCAAGAGGGGCTTCCTTGGTGGCACAGTGGTTAAGAATCTGCCTGCCAATGCAGGGGACACGGGTTCGAGCCCTGGTCCGGGAAGATCCCACATGCTGCGGAGCAACTAAGCCTGTGCTCCGCAACAAGAGAAGCCACCGCAATGAGAAGCCCACGCACCACAACAAAGAGTAGCCCCCGCTCGCCGCAACTAGAGAAAGCCTGCGCGCAGCAACAAAGATCCAGTGCAGCCAAAAATAAATAAATAAAATAAATAAAATTTTAAAAAAAGAAAATTCAAGATATTTGCCTGGGATTACACAGCTCACAAGGGTCAGGGATGGCATTCAGGCTCTTCTACTGCATGAGGCTGCCTGTCACCACCAGAGCAAGGGCACCTGCCCAGCTGGCCCTGCTTGGCCAACACTGCCCTGCTACAGAGCCTGGCATGTGGTGGAGCAAGGAGTCGGGGCAGCAGCTGTAATTAGTGCTCACCTCCTCTTAGAGCTGTGCTGGAGCAGGGAAGGGAGAAGGACCCAGCCTCTGGCTCTCCAAGAGGACCCGAGAGATTGGGACTCCATGGAGATGCAGCCAGCCCTATGCCCTGCAAGAAATACAAACTCTGCCCACCTGAGCCGTGAGAGGCGCAGCGGCAAGCTCCTGAACTTCCCAAAGAGGTAGCACAGAAATAGGGTAACTTTGAAAAAGGGACCTGGCTTCGACCACCTGGTCAAGGAGGTTCCCGAAATGCCAGTGGCAGCTTCCCATTGCCCAGGGTGAAGGTCATGCTCCTGGGGATGGCAGCAGAATTCCTTCCAGGCATAGCCCCCATCCTCCTCTTCCTTTCCTGCCACGACCAACTCCTTGGAAACCCATGCCATGTCATGCCTCAAATCTCCCCAGCCCAGAAGGCCCTTCTCTTCTGCTGTGTTGGGCACACCAGCCTCCTAGGGGTAGCCCCCCAGCTCTTCTGGACGGGGCTGGAGGCTCTGCTCTGTGGGCCCAGAGTCCTTGCCCACACACTCTCCCCCACTTGTACACTCATGTACTGTTAGCCTTCCATCCATCTCCTCCCTCTGCCCCAATGCCAGCAGCTGCTCAAGGACCCTGGGGACATTTTATTTCTCTCTGTATCTTGCCCCAAGGAGGCGGAGACGCATGGATGACAGAGGTGCATGGCCTGAGCCCACCACATCACAGTGTCTGTAGGAGGCGGGGGCTCTGGAGCTGCCCCTGTACAGGCAGCCGGATTGGGAGGCACAGAAGGCTGGAGGCTTCCCCCCTGCTAGGACTGTCCAGGGAGCCAGGTTTTTTTGTGCCCCCCGCCCCGCAACCAGGGTGGAGAGGAGTCCAGGGGCCCTTCCTCCGGCAGCCACAGTGGGGAGGATGCCCCAGGAGCCATGGGATGTCAGGCTTGTCACCATGACAACAGCTGCTGCTGGAAGCCAGAGGTGGGGGGTGTAGAACAGCCCCTCCCCCATGCAGATGCTGCCTGGGAGAGAAGAGGCCTCTTGGGCTGCCTGCCCACCCACCCTGCTTTGTCACTCGATCTGCCTCTTTACAAAGGCGGAACAATACGCCAGGCACTCACTGAAAGGGAGACTAGGAGGAGGACCCGGGGGACTGGGAGGAGGGAGATTACCATCAATGCCCACCCCCACTCCTGCTCACTGGGCAGAAGGGCCAGAGTTGGGCGAGGTGGGAATGGAACCCCTCCCAACTCCTCCTCCCGGGGTGGGGGGGTGGGGTGGGAGAAGACTCCCTTCCAGGGGGCCCTTGGCTGTGGGCCAATGAGCTGCCTTGCACAAGTGGGAAGGGACACCCTCCTGACCCGTGTCCCCCAACCCCAGCGCTCCAGTCTTCCCTTCTTTCCGCGTCCTCCCTGACCGAAGCCACCACTCACCCCACAGGACACATGCTGACCTTTCTGCAGCTTGACCCTGGTATTGCCTCCTCCAGGATGACCCCCTGCCCGATGGCCCTGGTGCCTGCCTCTGTGCCCTGCAGTCACCACGACTGCACCTGTCTCCCCATAAACCTGGCAGTTTCTGGAGGTCAGGGGCTGGGCTGTGCTCCTGGGTGTCTTGGTGCCTAGCCTGGAGTAGGCTCCCATAAATGTTTGTTGAATAAAAGGACGTTATAATGAGGAAAGGCTGCATGCAAGCGGGGCCTGAGGTTGGGGGAGGGGTACTGATTAGACCCTGGGGGACAGAGGTGTCCGCGTGAGTAAGCAGGAACCAGGAGGAGGGCCGTGCTGCACCTCCTCCAGGCGCCTGGGACAGCCCTCAGGAGGGGCTGCCTGCGGGGGGTGATGAAGGACTCAAGGGGTATAACACTGTCATGCCTGCTCCTGGGCCGGTGCGGCTGTGGAGTGACACAGCAGCCTGGGCAGACAGCAGTGGGCGCCAGCACATATGCATGCTGTGTATGTGGGTCTGGGGGCGAGTTAAGTGTGTATACACACACAAGGACACGCAGGGGCCTAGTTATTCCCGAGTGTGCACACACTTGGCCACGCCCCAGGCAAGCTCAGGGAATGGGCCCACCTCCCCGCAGCTTGAGCCCTGGTTCTGACTCAGGGTCTTGTGGCACACGGGCGTCAGTAGTTGTGGCTCGCGGGCTCAGTAGTTGTGGCTCGTGGGCTCTAGAGCGCAGGCTCAGTAGTTGTGGCACACGGGCTTAGGTGCTCTGCAGCATGTGGGATCTTCCTGGCCCAGGGCTCCAACCCGTGTCCCCTGCATTGGCAGGTGGATTCTTACCACCTGGCGCCCCCAGGGAAGCCCTCAGGGTCTCTTTATTAGGATGTCAGGGGCTGGACTAGACTGTTCATTCTTACTAAAGAAGCGTTTTTAAAATTTCTTATTAGGGCTTTCAAATTTTCATAACTAATTCCCTTGCAACCCTTGCCCTCAGATAATCAGCATCAGGAGTTCAGGCATCTCCTGCAACCAACAAGGGCTTAATTTCCAAAATAAACAAACAGCTCATACAGTTCGATATCAAAAAAAAAACTAAACGACCCAACCAAAAAATGGGTGGAGGACCTA